CCACACCCCCCCACCCCAACCCCCCCACGCACACCCACACTCACCCCCACACCCACGCCCACACCCACCCACACCCACACCCACACTCTTGAAGACATGTGTACAATTATTGCTACACCGAACACAACCATATTTTACCGAAAGAATAATTAAGTAGGTTTAGAGCTACAACAGATCGTCACATTTCTGTCATAAATTATTGATTTTTCCATGGATGAATAAATATTTGAAGTGCCAACTATGAAAATACGAGAGATCGTTTTGAGGGTGTGAGTGTGGGTGAGGGTGAATGGAGCTGCCATGACGGGTTTCGTTCTAGCTGACAACTAGAACTCATCAGATGGCTTTAATTTGGATACTCTTAACATAAGAGTAAACCGTTTTATTTATTGAGATAGAAATCTAACAAAGTCAGCTATCTATTCAATAAATAGACGGCTCTGATAAATTCTGTTGTTAGAAAGTTTCGTTAAGTCTCGCTTGAAGTCAGTTTGAAGACTAAGATTACTCACTTTTTCGTTGATGTTGTTGTTATAACTGATCGAAAGAATTGTAATAAAGATGTGTTAAAGTGACGATGAAAGTTTTGACTTTTTTGATAACGAGGTTTCAATAGATCGTTGGATTTTTGGTAATATTTTAAATATGAAAAAGTGTGTGGCTGTTCAATTATCTAGAATTGGAAGAAAACAAAACATGAAACTGATAATATAGTAGGATTCATTGTGGTAGTATTGAATGGATGGGGGAAAAGCTGATTGTAATCAAAACAATCTTTGTCAAGCAATGCCAATTTTTTCCAATCAACAGCAAACATTAGCAGTGGGTTAGAATAAAATGCTTTTTATTCAAGACGGGTGTGGATGTGGGCGAGCGTGGGTTCATTCTTTATTGACGCCCACACCCACACCCACACCCTGATGAAATGGTCAATTATGATAATAACTAACTAAATAAATAATAGACGTCGAGTTCATTTTTTTATTACATTTCTCTCATACAATATGTGCTTACTATTGCGATAAGTGAATAACGTAAGACGAAAGAAAACAAAATACTTTTCTTTTCATTCCTTTTCATTGATTCCATAAAAGTTTTGACCATAACTATGGGATCAAAATGAAACTATCTAACCTAATTTCGCAATTCGTCTCAGCGAATTTGAAACATGGGTGTGGGGTATGGGATGTGGGGTGTGGGAGGTGTGGGTGTGGGGTGTGGGTGTAAGTGTGTGGGTGTAAGTGTGCGTGTGCTTGTGCGTGTGCGTGTTGGTACCGACATCCCGAGAAGTCTCACACCCACACCCACCCACACACCCACATCCACACCCACCCTCGAATCTTTACCTAGGGTGTGGGTGTGGGTGTGAGACTTTTCGGGATGTCGGTACCAACACGCACACCCACACCCTCAAGAAGAGACAACTGTGATTGACGAAAAATTTTAACTCGAAAGCTTCTCTAGGAAAACCTAAATCCGAGTTGATAAAATCGAATCAAAATCCGTTCGTAGTTTCGGTTGCAAGACGCTGATCTGCTTATCTTTTTCTCATTAAGGAAATGATCGAACATTGACCATCGCCAGTGGTATGAGGATGCGGTGTGTGTGTGGCTATGAATGTGTAAACCGACACCCATATCCCATACAAACTCAAGGTTCAGCCGCTTTTGATAAACGTGGTAATCGATCGATTGTGAATCAATTTCAAGCGAGGCGATTAGTGTAAATGAATAGTTTTGTTTTTCTATTTATTCAAAAAAAAAGTAGATGCTATGTAAATAGGTAATTATTTGATAAGAGAAAATGTCTTGATTGAAAAAAAAACAGCGTTTGCACCACCACCAGTCCTCTATGAAATCCAGATCATTCTTCTTCCTAATTCGTGTAATGTTCTGTTCTTGTTAAGCATATAAACGATTAAATCTCCTTGACCAGCTAAATAATGCTGTATAAAACTTTTGTAGACCATGACTAAATTTCTTTCTTTGTCATACATTGGTAATGAAACTGATGTTAAACCGACAACTTTTGGGTTTTCTTCATACAGCTTATCCCATCCACCACCATTTGGTAAAAAGTATTTTGAAAATGTATTATCTTGATCAATAATATATCCATTTGATGGATCAGATTTAATTGTTAAATTTACAATTTGTTGATTTTTTTTAATAAGTTCATGAAATAATGGTGTACAATTATATCCATTTATAATTAATGGGTCAATCGAGAAATGAAAATCATTCAAATACGATATTGTCGTTTCAGGGTTTACAACTGTATATCTACCATCACCATAATGATTTTCCAAAATTAATGGCAATATTATATTGTCATCATATAATGCAAGAAGGCTCACGCCCGACAGAATCAATATAAAAAATAAGTATTTAAACATTTCTTCTATTTTTTTTCTGTAAGTGAAGAAAATATCGAGTACATAAACGGTTGTAAGTACTTTCTAGATAACCAATCGCAATAGTAACATTGTTATTGATTAATAATTAGGCAGAATACAAACAAGTAAAGGGTGTAACACGGATGAAATATTTTGTTTTATTGTGTTGAAGCAAGAAGTGACATTTTCGATGCATAAAAAATGGCAGATCCATATTTTATTTGAAACTCCTAATATCTTTGTGAGACTTATCCGCTTAATTACGCACTAATCTCATTCGCAAGAGTTATTGACAAGGAACACGGACGTAATAAAAAAATATCAAAGGTTTCGGAGGTATATCGGAGCGCGGTTTCCTTAACTTAGGGCTACGAAAATTGAGTCTTTTTATCATGGATAGTTCGCATCATTCTGAATCGTTCAACACAAAACTATATCGACGAAAGAAAAATCGGTAGAGTCTTGGCACCTATGATAAAGTGGAATGGTCGTTGAAACCCGAAGAACACTGTCAGAGATAATTATAGCCGTTTTGAGTTAACCACCTTTCCCCCACAGAATAAAAGACCATAGTCTTGCATTATGAAACTTTACATCACCCCTCCAAAGGTGGTCCTCTATTGCACGCTAGTTTATGTTGACATTTACCTAGAAAGCCAAGGATTTTTGAAAAAACGTTGTCTCGCACTCAAACATACATTTTCAGCAACCAAGCACTGAAAAATCAGGGTGTGGATGTGGTTATCATTCTTTGCTATAGCTACATCCACATCTACACCCACAACCACACTACGATACGTAGCAACTAATAAAAAAAATTAGGTTGTTTTTAGAAGTCAATGAGGTCAATTTAAGCACGGGCCGAAATTTCTGTCTCCCTTCTTCGGACGTCATGTGATATTTTAACATAAATACAAGGATATCTTTGAATTAATCGATTGCCCTTAGATGAAACTTCGATAACGCTGAGAAAAAAACATTTTTCATGTAGAAAAAATGGCGTGCAATCGTACTACAACAAAGGAACAGTAGAATTTTGTCGCTCACCAATAGCTGGCAGGTGTACATTTTAGTGAACAATCGATTATACGTAGAAAATAGAAGGAAAATTATCGAAATATTTACTCGAAATAGCAAGACGAATTCTCTCAACGTAAGTATAAAAAAAATTGATTCAATTTGAATGAAAGTTGAAAGATTCGACAAGTGCTGAACTAATTTTTGGTTTATCGACAACTACAGATGCTGAGCAGTGACGCTTCAGGGATGTATTTTTTAATGAAAAGTAACTTGTGACTGTTATTTCAAAGCCTCGTGCGATTAATGGGCACTGTCTGGTCACTACACGTTTTGTTCTTCTAGAAAAACTAACCCACTGTAGTTAATATGCAAACACTAACTAGAAATACTCAGATGCCGATGAAATCGACTGACGAATAGTACGACTCGAGAGTAACTTATATAGCTGATTCTGTACAAATATATCAGTGTCAGGCAAAATAAGCGAACCGTTTATTTCCTATGAAGCTTTTTCTAATATCACAATGCATCTTACTGCGATCTAGGCTCAAATACTGCTGCGATTGATTTTTCTATTTTCTCATTCGCCAATACACACAGTCAAGCT